TGTTTCCACATTTCAGCACCAATATTGTTCCAAAATGAGTCTGTAACAGGTTAGATTAATAAATCTCACCAACAATTAATTTCATCCAGGTTTTAATAAAGTGCTAACAGGAGCTGAAGTTCACTTTGTTGCTTCCAGTTGCTGAGGAAATGTTCCCTAAGTTTAATAAATACCTGCAGCATCAGCCAGCAGCAAGATCCATATGAGTGTTTCCAAAGAGAGAGAACTGTATCCATGTTACTTCATTAATTACTCATAGTTATAAATGATCCCTGACAGGTAAGTATTAGTTACACAGCAGCATCATTTCTAGTGTTTAGGAAATTATAACTACACTGAGCTGCAAGGTTTTGTTCAGCTCATATCTCCGTCACTGTGGTTGGTTTGTCTAAATGACTGAAGAAGCAGCAATGTTACATATCTCATGTCTGAAAAGGGCTGTAGATAAGGTAAATCGCATAGCACCATGTAAGACAGGAAAAGAAACTGGGCTATAATATAGTGTCACGGTCTGTGAGTCCTTTATGGCCACGGTTGTCCTCGAGCTCCTTATGATCCATGACTTCAATTTAAATGGTGAAAATGAAGCGTACAAAGGAAGTTGGTGCGAATGAGACGACCAGCAAACTGTAGCAGTAAAAAAACAACGGTCTGAGTTTATCTCCATGGGTGTGAATCTTCTCTGTTTTTCATATCCAGTCAAACCCACCCTATTTTAAGCAAAATAAATAACTTAGTGGCATTTCCAAATCACTCATATAAAACTGCATGTTTTTTGACATTTCAGCGTTATTATCATTATTGACTGTGTCCAGCCAGCGTGAAAAATAGGTCAGGCTAATGTAATTGGTATTTCACTGATTTGTTTTTGGACAAATTTGCAAAGAATGCTGAAGACTGGAGCCAGAATCAATAGATGGTGTTATGTATTGAGTTTTTTTTTAATCATTTGAAGGATCATGTAGAAACTTATTAAAGCATCTTTATTAACTTAGAATCAGGTTTTTCAACCTGCTGCTCAACACAAACAGTTAAGTAGTTTGTTTCCTTGCACCAGAATTGTAAATGTGCTCGACCTGCTGACCTGGTGGACCCGCAGCGTTTAGTTTTCATAACACCTCGAGCTGCAGAGTCACGAATATGACGAATACAGTGGAAGTATCCCGCTGCGTTAATGCGCTCATCAAACTCCTTACAGTGGCCCGGAGGTGGTTCAGTGTTTGTTTCCTGGATTTGCACACAGCGTTTCTTGTCAGATCACTTTAACCGCCCCCTGTGTTCTGCTGCCGGATATCTTTCCTTCGCACTCTGCAGAGGAATTTGTCACTTGACACGTGAGTTAAACGTCTTTTTTAGAACCTGCAGTTATCCCAGGAGTCTATACAGAAAGTATAAATTAAAGGTTAAAATAAAACCTTTCTCCTGATAAGAGGTGAGGTTATACCCGTGGATGAGCCCTGTGTGAGGAGACCCGGTGACAGTCCCCTTATCCTTATTACCTAAACATCCCAGGCCTGCATGCTGTCCAAGCATAAAATCAGGGCGATACGGCGGTGTTGCCGTTTTTATCGCCTCCCTGTCAGAGCGACTGACTTGATGCATGCAGTCGTGCCGTCACTGGATTGTCAGGAAAGATGAATTTCCTGCTCCAGAGGTGGATTCTGCGATAAGGTCGGCCAGGAGACGTTTCAGTGTTTAATGGCTGGAGAGGAGGAAGGAAAACACCAGACGAGCAGCAGATCCAGCCCAAAAAAAAACCCCCACCGTCAGGCCGAGGAAGACTGACAGCCTGATGAATGGATGCAGTTAATTGACGTGTACAGACGAGAAGGACGGGCGCAGATTTGCATAAAGAGTTGTGATATCAGGCGTTCGCTTTGAAGACATGATTGATCGCTTTGAGTTAATCATAATTCTGAACAGTAGATTAGAGGTGATCGAAGCTGTTTGTGGAGAAAATAACAGTCACAATCTTCTGCATGGTGGAGAATAATTATCTTCTGTTATTACACTGCGCTGTGTTTTGATTCAGTGGCGTGAATGTAAAATCAATTGTAAGCTGTTAGGTCATCTTTTATGTAGACATTTACTCAGACGGAAACCATGTCTGAGTCTCAAAAGGCTCAATTGTTAACTTAAGGAATTTAAGAGTTTCTTTTTGTTGTATATATATGAATTTTCATTTTAACATTTTGGCAAAAACTGAAGTAGACTTCTGCAAAATCAGAATTTTTGGGGCTTTTTTTTTTNAATCATCAGCGGCCCTCTGCTCTGTTGGGTTTATTCAGTAAACCCGACTTGTGGATTTTAGGGGTTTAGATTGTGTGTTTTTGTGGAGCTTTTGCCTTGTTCACATAGATGAACAGGTATTTATCTCTGCAGTGTCCTTGGTTGAAGGTTGGGTTCCTCTTTGATGAAGGTTTTTTTTGTTGTTTTCTGTTTGCTGTTGTTGTCAGTGAAGCAACTCGTCATTGTTGTTGAGGAGTGTCGTTTTTTTGTTTTTTTTCCCTCACTCGCTGTTTTGTTCCATGATTCGGGTGTCACGAAGCCGAGACTGTAACCATGATTAAAGAGCACACAAATAACACTGACATGTAATAGATCCACAGAATAATAAATACTCAGAGCCTCCTACACTCATCCAGTT